TCTTCAAGTAGAGTGGGACTAGTCAAATATTCCGACCTTTTCACTGTCTATTGTGGCCAAAAACCAGCAGTAACACATGTCTTATACCTCTTTCTCTGGTCTTTCATCTGCTGTTGGATTTGGAAGAGTTTTCTCCATAAAAGGCACGTTTAATTGTATAGCACGGTTACTACACAAGGCATAAATAATCACAGCACATTTAAAAAGAGTGGAGATCAGTTGTATGCACAGATAAACAGGAGGTTTTTTTTTTTTTTTTACCCGGATTTGAACATTGTCAGAGAAGAAGTCTGTCTCACATTATCAGGAAGACTGTTTCATGTTGTAGTTGCATGATTCTGAAACGCTGCCTCCTCATGTTTAGTCTTCAGATTCAGATTCAGATTCATTTATTTGCCATTTGCAGTAAAACCACATTGGAATAGATTTGCAAAAGACTCAGAGTCCCAGCAGGAAGCCTGTCCCTGTGCTCCTCAGAGTCCCCAGGAGGCCAGTCCCTGTGCTCCTCAGAGTCCCCAGGAGGCCAGTCCCTGTGCTCCTCAGAGTCCCCAGCAGGAGGCCAGTCCCTGTGCTCCTCTGAATCCCAGCAGAAGGCCAATCCCTGTGCTCCTCAGAGTCCCCAGCAGGAGGCCAGTCCCTTTGCTCCTCTGAGTCCTCAGCAGGAGGCCAGTCCTTGTGCTCCTCTGAGTCCTCAGCAGGAGGCCAGTCCCTGTGCTCCTCTGAGTCCTCAGCAGGAGGCCAGTCCCTGTGCTCCTCAGAGTCCCAGCAGGAGGCCAGTCCTTGTGCTCCTCAGAGTCCCCAGCAGGAGGCCAGTCCCTGTGCTCCTCTGAATCCCAGCAGAAGGCCAATCCATGTGCTCCTCAGAGTCCCCAGCAGGAGGCCAGTCCCTGTGCTCCTCTTAATCCCAGCAGGAGGTTTGTCCCTGTGCTCCTCAGAGTCCCCAGGAGGCCAGTCCCTGTGCTCCTCAGAGTCCCCAGCAGGAGGCCAGTCCCTGTGCTCCTCGGAGTCCCAGCAGGAGGCCAGTCCCTGTGCTCCTCAGAGTCCCCAGCAGGAGGCCAGTCCCTGTGCTCCTCTGAATCCCAGCAGCAGGCCTGTGGTGTGGTGTGCTGGCTCTGGATCCCTGTGGTTAACATCAGAGACTTTGATGATGGTGAATTGTCGTGTGGTTATTGAGCCTTTTGTTCATCGATATTTGATGTTTCCACTGGGGTCGAGGGTCAGTGCAGTCAGCGATCGTTACATTCTTCCACACACTCAGCTGCAGCAAAAGCACTGAACATTTAGCTAATGGATAATCTATTCTAAGTATTTGTGTATCGCCCTAAATCACAACAGCAGTCGTCTCAGTCAGACGATTCACCCAGATCAGAGAATCAAACAGTTCCAACACAAGAAATATAATGATCGCAAACACATAGGAGCCATTGATTTAAAGGGAGAGGAACCACTCAGAAACCCAGGACTGAGGCTGTAGATCTAGGACTGAGGCTGTAGATCCAGGACTGAGACTGTAGATCCAGGACTGAGGCTGTAGATCCAGGACTGAGACTGTAGATCCAGGACTGAGGCTGTAGATCCGGGACTGAGGCTGTAGATCCGGGACTGAGGCTGTAGATCCAGGACTGAGGCTGTAGATCCAGGACTGAGACTGTAGATCCAGGACTGAGGCTGTAGATCCGGGACTGAGGCTGTAGATCCGGGACTGAGGCTGTAGATCCAGGACTGAGGCTGTAGATCCAGGACTGAGACTGTAGATCCAGGACTGAGGCTATAGATCCAGGACTGAGGCTGTAGATCCAGGACTGAGACTGTAGACCCATGACTGAGGCTGTAGATCCAGGACTGAGGCTGTAGATCCAGGACTGAGGCTGTAGATCCAGCTTAATTTCTTCTTTAAAAACGAAAATTCTTCCCACTGACGTCCTTCAGTAGATTGATGTCACATGTCTTCAACTGGACAATTCAATTAAACTTAATGATTGTTCTCTATTGAACTATTCAAAACCAGCTTGTATATGTCTCTTCTTCTCCGGGATCGCCCATGACTGACTCTGGACCTGACTGTTTCCCTCTCTGAATAAGTTTAAACAAAATACACAATATTGACACAGCAGCGGTTATTCAAAAACTACACAAACCACACAAACCACACAAACTACACAAACTACACAACCAGAACAAACCAATCGACTCAACAGCTTCAAATCTATTAATTTCAATGTATTTGTGTGTCGTCCTAAACCATAACTCCAGTCGTCTCCTCCATGTCGTCCTGTTTAAGTGTATTGAAATGTAAACTGTGAGATTAGCTGTGATAGTGTAGTATGTGTTGTACCTGTGATCAGTAGTATACGCTGTATTATGATAGTGTAGTATGTGTTGTACCTGTGATCAGTAGTATACGCTGTATTAAAGCTGGGGTACCTAGTTTTTTCATTAAGACAGGTTTGTCCCAACAGAAATAGTCCAGTTTCCACCAGTCCTACTCTGCTCTACTCTACCCTACTCTGCTCTACTCTACTCTACTCTACTCTACTCTACTCTGCTCTACTCTACCCTACTCTGCTCTACTCTACTCTACTCTACTCTGCTCTACTCTACTCTACTCTACTCTACTCTACTCTACTCTACCCTACCCTGCTCTGCTCTACTCTACTCTGCTCTACTCTGCTCTGCTCTGCTCTACTCTACTCTACTCTACTCTACTCTACTGTACTCTACTCTACTCTACTCTGCTCTGCTCTACTCTACTCTACTCTACTACTCTACTCTACTCTACTCTACTCTACCCTGCTCTACTCTACTCTACTCTACTCTACTCTACTCTACTCTACTCTGCTCTACTCTACTCTACTCTACTCTACTCTACTCTACTGTACTCTACTCTACTCTACTCTACTCTACTCTACTCTACTCTACTCTACTCTACTCTACTCTACTCTACTCTACTCTACTCTACTCTACTCTACTCTACTCTACTCTACTCTACTCTACTCTACTCTACCCTGCTCTGCTCTGCTCTGCTCTACTCTACTCTACTCTACCCTGCTCTACTCTACTCTACTCTACTCTGCTCTACTCTACTCTACTCTACTCTACCCTACTCTACTCTGCTCTACTCTGCTCTGCTCTGCTCTACTCTACTCTACTCTACTCTACTCTACTCTACCCTACTCTACTCTACTCTACTCTACTCTGCTCTGCTCTGCTCTACTCTACTATGCTCTACTCTGCTCTCCTCTGCTCTCCTCTGCTCTACTCTACCCTACTCTACTCTATATATAAACTGCACCAGCTAAATATTCAGATAGTCAATTTTGATTGGACACAACCTGATTTAATGACAAGGTGAGAGACATTAGCAAACATTAGCTCACGTTAGCATATTTACTTTATCTGTTAGCGTCCTTGACTTAATTATCAAGACATATTTGACAATAAACACCTGTTCTATAGCCAATATAAAAAGTCCATAAACTCTGGCCTCTGCCTCTAATGGCTCTATGTGTTTGTTATTGAATTTCCTGGCTTTGAACTTTTTGATTCTCTGATCTGTTGTTAGCCAATCCACAACTTTGTGAAGTCCTCTGAGGTGACTACTGTTGCGGTCGAGGGCAGTACTAAAATACATTGAATTTGAACTGACTTGAATTGAAGAGCAAGGAACTAGTTAAATATTTCTTTTCACACAAATCATTTTCTTGTGGTTTGAAAGTTAGGGACCTCAGCTTTAATGGTACAAAGGTGTTCTTGGATGTTCCGTGGGTTTTTGGTCTAGTATCAGAAAGTCACATCTTGAAACTAAAACTACTGCTATTGTCAAGTTTGTGGCAAAAACTGCAAAATAAATGTTTAGTTCAAAAAGTTTAGTGTTATTGTGACATACCAGAAGGGAGAAAGTCAGTATCCTTCAGACAACTAAGCAGGGCAGGGCCTGGTTAGTACTGTGATGGGAGACTATGAGTGCTCTGGGAACACCAAATCTCTCCAAATCACCACTGTCTTCGGAGTGAAAGAATAATGACGTCTTTGAGAGTCCAGAAAAGCGCTGTATTAACCCAATGCATAATTATTATCATTATCATTATTGTACGTTCACTTGAAAATATGTATAAAGCCAGGACTTTGATGTTGTCTACGGGTCACATGGTCCTGGTCTCAGCTCCCTCTGGTCTCCGGAACAGCTCCAACGACCGAGGAGCGCGTGGCTTAGTTTCTCCTCTCTGCTGTGATTAAAGGTCGAGGCTTTAAGAGGCTTTGCTGACTCTTTTCTAGTCTCAATCAGAGGAGAGCGTACGCACAGAGAGAAGGACCAACACGCCATACTTCAGTCCATGAGACTCAAAAAGTATTGTGCCAAATGTTTGAAATCTTGGGGTAACCGGGTTTCTGCTGCAGTTGGACGATTCTTTCTGCGTCTGTGATGCTCAACTGAGTAAGGATGGAGGAAAACTGTAATATTGTTTAAAAGAAGAAGAGAAATCTCACTTTATTTTTTGTTAAAGTGACAGTAATATAAAGTATTTGTTTGTTTTCTACAATCACAGAATCTTCCTGCAACACATGATGCTTCCATTGTACTGAAAACTCATGCAATCCACCTGCTGGAGTTTGAATTTGGACCTTTAATTCAGAGAAAAAAAAGATACACTTTATATGTCTCTGTAGGGAAATTTGTCTGCTGCATTTGACCCATCCTGAGGCTGTAGATCCAAGACTGAGGCTGTAGACCCAGGACTGAGGTTGTAGATCCAAGACTCAGGCTGTAGATCCAAGACTGAGGCTGTAGATCCAGGACTGAGGCTGTAGACCCAGGACTCAGGCTGTAGATCCAGGACTGAGGCTGTAGACCCAGGACTCAGGCTGTAGATCCAGGACTGAGGCTGTAGACCCAGGACTCAGGCTGTAGATCCAGGACTGAGGCTGTAGACCCAGGACTCAGGCTGTAGATCCAGGACTGAGGCTGTAGACCCAGGACTCACTCTTCGTCTTCTCCGCAGACAAAGACAAGCCTCAGGACTCCGATGAGGAATCTTCCCAGAGTGCGGGCAGTGCGGGCAGTGCGGGCAGTGCTGGAGGCCCCGGCTCGGTGGGAGGGGGCCCGGCCTCTGGGCCACAACGATCCAGCTCTCAGTCCGCCTTCCTGGGGCCCATGCTGTGGGAGCGGACCTTGCCCTGTGACGGGGGTCTGTTCCAGCTGCAGTACATGGACCTGGAGGAGTTCCTCACGGAGAACGGGATGGGCATGCAACACAATGGGGCCAGCTCCACCAGCGCCCAGATCCCTTCTCAGGTGAGTCTGGTCTGTCTCTGGTCTTGCTCTGGTCCCTCTCTGGTCTCTCTCTCTCTGGTCTCTGTGTGGTCTCTGTCTGGTCTCTCTTTCCGGTCTTTCTCTGGTCTCTGGTCTAATGCTAAAGACCAGATGCTAACTGCTGACCCTAAGTTGCTATAGTAATTTGCAGTCGCTCTGCTCTGATGGGAAATCAAGCTGACTCGGATCAGAACCAGAACCAGTCCAAGGACCAGCACCTAAAAAATGCCTTTTATGGCTTAAACTGCCATAGATTGTTGGTGGCCAAGTGACCAGAACAGTTTGGTCAGTTTTGGCCTCTGTCACATCTATAGACTGTATACAGATGGACAATGCTAAAGCACTAACTCAATGAAACCCAGAGTGTGACCAGAGAGAGACCAGAGTGTGACCAGAGACCCCTGAGAGAGACCAGAGAGACCAGAGAGAGACCAGATTGTGACCAGAGACCCCAGAGAGAGACCAGAGAGACCAGAGAGAGACCAGAGAGATAGGGACCAGAGTGTAACCAGCTGTGTGACCAGAGAGAGACCAGAGAGAGAAACCAGAGATGGAACAAAGAGAGACCAGAGAGAGAGACCAGAAAGAGACCACAGAGAGAGACCAGAGTGAAACAGACCAGTTTGTTTTAGTAAATAACCATTGCTTAAGTCTTTATGGTCTGTGTTTGCAGAGTTCCCAGTCGGCCGTGCCCAGTCAGAGCTCGCAGTGTCCCCCCTCCTCCCCTCCTCCCTGCTCCTCTTCCTCCTCCATGTCCTCCTCTTCCTCCTCCTCCTCTCTTCTGGGACTGGAGACCGTTCAGCCACAGCAAAGCATGATGGGAGGTCCTGAGTGTATACACGGTGAGTCCATGGCTTTAACTACATAATGCAGTGATGGGGGGGATGGATACTTTTGCACTTGAACCTCTGGAGCTGAGGAAGCGTGAACATCTAGTCTCTCTCTGGTCTCTCTCTCTGGTCTCTCTCTGGTCTCTCTCTCTGGTCTCTCTCTCTGGTCTCTCTCTCTCTCTGGTCTCTCTCTCTGGTCTCTCTCTGGTCTCTCTCTGGTCTCTCTCTCTGGTCTCTCTCTCTCTTTGGCCTCTCTTTCTGGTATCTATCTCTGGTCTCTCCCCTGTCTCTCTCTCTCTCTCTCTCTCTCTTGTGTTTGGACAGAAGGCTTGGGATGAGAGGTTTTTGTTGGATGGAGCTAACAAGAGGACAGTTTTGTGGCTAAAACTCATAAAAGGCAAAAGTGCTTTCATAAAAGACACTCGAGAGCTATTTTTGTCATCATTATTTCAACACGCGATCGACATATGGTGCTCTGTGCGGCTGGTTTGGACAAGCAAAGACGGATTATACACTCATCAGAACTCACTGTAAAGTCATATTTCTGTGTTAGAGATGAGAATCAGAGGCTTTTAGATCTGTATTGAACGATCATTATTAGATTTATTTCAGGCAGATGGTCCATAGACAGAGACCATAGAGAGAGAGACTAGAGAGACAGAGACCGTAGAGAGAGAGACTAGAGAGACAGAGACCAGAGAGAGAGAGAGAGAGAGAGAGACAGAAACCAGAGAGAGAGAGAGAGAGAGAGAGAGAGAAACCAGAGAGAGAGACTAGAGAGACAGAGACAAGAGAGAGAGACTAGAGAAACAGAGAGACAGACTAGAGAGACAGCGACCAGAGAGAGACTAAAGAGACAGAGACCAAAGAGAGAGACTAGAAAGACCAGAGACCAGCGAGAGAGACTTGAGAGACAGAGAGAGAGAGAGACTAGAGAGACAGAGACCAGAGAGAGAGACCAGAGAGAGACTTGAGGGTCAGAGACCAGAGAGAGAGACTAGAAAGACCAGAGACCAGCGAGAGAGACTTGAGAGACAGAGAGAGAGAGAGACTAGAGAGACAGAGACCAGAGAGAGAGACCAGAGAGAGACTTGAGGGTCAGAGACCAGAGAGAGAGACAAGAAAGACCAGAGACCAGAGAGAGAGACTTGAGAGACAGAGAGAGAGAGACTAGAGAGACAGAGACCAGAGAGAGAGACCAGAGAGACAGATACCAGAGACCAAAGAGACAGAGACCAGAGACACCAGAGAGAGACACTGGAGAGACCAGAGAGACACTAGAGAGACAGATAGACCAGAGTGAGAGACAAGAGCGAGACCAGAGACAGAAAGAGAGACACCAGAGAAAAGAGAGACCAGAGAGAGAGACCAGTGAGACACATACAGTAGAAGTTAGTATGTGTTTGTTATTATTGCATTTCCTGTGTTTGTGTTTGATTCTCTGATCTGTTGTTGGTGAATCCATAACTTTCTTAAGTCCTCTGAGACGACTGAGATTCAGGACAACACAAAAATACATTGAATAAACTTTTCAGACCGTAACGTCCCTCTCCTTAGCGGCAAACTTTAAAAGATCTTGCAGAAATCTCTAGTTTAAATCCTCTCTATCCTCTATTACTTCTACAGATACAGTTAGTACTATAGCTACTGCATGTAACTATAATCTAGTATAGTAACTTTATTGTAATCCATGAATCTCCTGTCCGTGTGCAGAGCGAGTGGCAGCCGCTTCTGTTAATGTCAAACCAACATAAAACCATCAGATGTTTGAACGCCGCGGTATGCAACAAAACGTTCTGTGGAAAGCACAAACTTCACCAGAACAAAACCTGCTCTGCCTGTTTTCTTTCTGTGTCAGAGTCTGAGAAAGCTGCGGCTATGACACCAGACATCAGTTAGAATGACATCAGAATGACATTAGAATCACATCAGAATCACAGTAGAATCACAGTAGAATCACATTAGAATCACATTAGAATCACAGTAGAATCACATTAGAATCACAGTAGAATCACAGTAGAATCACATTAGAATCACATTAGAATCACAGTAGAATCACATTAGAATCACAGTAGAATCACAGTAGAATCACATTAGAATCACATTAGAATCACAGTAGAATCACAGTAGAATCACATTAGAATCACAGTAGAATCACATTAGAATCACAGTAGAATCACATTAGAATCACATTAGAATCACAGTAGAATCACAGTAGAATCACATTAGAATCACAGTAGAATCACATTAGAATCACAGTAGAATCACAGTAGAATCACATTAGAATCACAGTAGAATCACAGTAGAATCACATTAGAATCACAGTAGAATACATTAGAATCACAGTAGAATCACATTAGAATCACATTAGAATCACAGTAGAATCACAGTAGAATCACATTAGAATCACAGTAGAATCACAGTAGAATCACAGTAGAATTACATTAGAATCACATTAGAATCACATTAGAATCACAGTAGAATCACATTAGAATCACAGTAGAATCACAGTAGAATCACATTAGAATCACATTAGAATCACAGTAGAATCACATTAGAATCACAGTAGAATCACAGTAGAATCACATTAGAATCACAGTAGAATCACAGTAGAATTACATTAGAATCACATTAGAATCACAGTAGAATCACATTAGAATCACAGTAGAATCACAGTAGAATCACAGTAGAATCACAGTAGAATCACATTAGAATCACAGTAGAATCACATTAGAATCACAGTAGAATCACAGTAGAATCACAGTAGAATGTCCAGGAGATTCTGCAGCACACTCTGAGCTTATGATCCAGAATATTGAATATTAAAGCTATTTTACATATTCCGTGTGTTAATTTTAGCTCCTGAACATGATGTAGAGAATAGTCACTTTAATTATTATATTTAATTTATTTAGCACTTTAAATTTGTACGAATTGTTGGAGTTTTGTAAATAAAGAGATGTGAATTGAATTGAGTTGGGAGTCCTGGTGTTAACTGTGCCTAATGCTGTGCTGGTTTATGTGTTAAATTCTCAACACCGGTGATTTACATGAACAAAGAAAAACAACCTTTTCCACCATAAAACGGCTGTGATGTCACATGACTGCGACCTTTCGGCTCTGAAGGCTGTTCACTGCGGACTTGAATAAACCGCTTGAATAATAGATGCTGTTTACCTTCAAAAGCATAAAGCCGACGTCTCTGGAGGGAAACGTTTTAACAGCTTCTAGAGGACGAACGTGAAGTACTTTTGATGCTAAATACCAGGACTTAATGTTGTAGCTGAATATGCTAGTGGCTCCGTGTCAGCTTGGGCCGGTGGTGGCTTGGCTCTCGTTGGGAAGGTCGAGGAATTTAAATACGTATAGAATTTGTTTTACCACTAGTTATTTATGGAACTACAGATTTGGAAATATTGTTTAGAGACATTTTATTCTATCTAATTAAAGGTGTATAGAAGGATTTGTTGTTCTTCCGGGTGGATCATCGAGACTATCGGTCCCCCCATGTTGCAATCATTCTGGTGATGCTCGTCAAATAAGACCAGACAGTTTAGTAAGTGTACCTTTAAACAAGCAATATGTTTGGCTCCAGTTGTAGGCTGAGATAGCTGGATGAGTCTCTGAGAGTGTAGACTGTGAATAAATGGACAACGCTAACCTGCTAGCTCAATAAAACCCAATAGGGAAGTGCTTATGGACAAGTTCTCTAGCCAGACTCTATCTGGCTCCTATTGACTTACATGTAAAAGTAAAGTCTGCTAAGTCAGTAATTGTTTATCTCCATTTTTAGCTTTAAAAAATCTAAAAGCTAAAAAGTTTATTTTGTTTCATTGTCTTTGTAAATCTAGATATGAGCCTTAATTATTGACCAACCAGATTCATTCATTCATTCTTCATTAGTGGGGGAATTTCCAGCTTACCCTAGCAACCAGGTTAGCTATCAGGTTAGCAACATGTCTGCTAACGCTGTCGGAACAAATACCCATTTAAACATATAAGACATAGCTAAATATACATTTTAACATTTGGATACTGAAGAAGGTTTTTGACAAAAAAAAAAAAAAAAGATAAACACACAAAATTGGTTCGGCTCTCAACAATAGGTCAATATTGTCAATATATTAGTCAATAGGTTAGTCAATTAGTCAATTAGTCAATAGGTCAATAGGTCAATATATTAGTGGAATACTTAGATAGTTTGTTGTATTGCAGTTGTCCGTATCAGTTCTTGTGTTGTTTTTGATGTTTCTTACTTTCGTTGTTTCTGCTCCATCGCTGCTGCTCTTGTGTTACTGTTGTTTGTGCTTCTGTCCTTACCATCGCTGGTATGTACATTTGTGTCACTATTGTTTGTGTCTCTGTCCTTACCATCGCTGGTATGTACATTTGCTGAAAATGTCTAAACTGTTGTATCATTTGCATCCTGTCTATTCTATAAGCTATGTTTGACCGTAAACGAAAATGATATTGCACTTAGTTTTGTGTTCTGGAGTGTAGTAGTATTTTATAAAAGTGTTTAAGTTATGAAAATTTGATTTTTGTTGCATTGAGAATTTTTTATTTTTATTTTTTATTTTTTTATTTTTTTTCTCCTTTCCTTTTATGGACTTTGAAGTGGAAGTTAAGTTAAATAATGTAACGTAGCTATGGACAATAGGGGTGGGATTCAATAAGTTTTCTTCTTCCCACTCCTTTTCGAGCCAAATCCTTTCTATTTCCTGTACTCTAGTACAGCTGTTCTACATTTGTTATTTTTATTTTTTTATGTGATCTGCTCGAAATGAATAAATAACTAACTAACTAACTAACTAATATTTTGATGTAGCCACGGAAGAAAATAATGGTCCATCTCTGATCTATGGTGTTAGATCATTGTTGAGTTCCTGATTCCTCTGAACTTATAATAATCCGTTTGCTAGTTCTTCCTTAGCATCCGGCTAGCTTATGTTCAAATCTGTCTTTAGTACTTAGTGATTTCAGTCCACTCCATCCCTTCATCCCTGGTGTCC